AAACCATGTCCTTTAGTGATGCTGAGAAAGGGGACACAGCATGGCCAAGCCCTAGAAACCATTCTGTTCCTCTCAAGGAATAAATATTTGAATTGTGAATTCCTGTTTTCAAGGGAATGTCTTGCAATTATGTATGGCAGTTCAGAATGCCGGGGGAAGTGTTTTGTTTATCAGATCCAGCCATTTAATATTTATTGCTTGTTTACAACTATATTCTGAACCTGATTTTAGGAGAATATAAAAACAGGGGTGTTTATTTAGTTTTCTTTCTGGGCAATGAAACATGTATGTGTATACTGTGGAGAAGTGAACTGGTGTTAATGGAGGGCTGTATCTACCATCCGACAGACGAGCAGTTTTAGACATGCGGTCTCATTCAGTCCTCACAAGCAGTTCTTACAAGGAAGTAGTGGCTATCTTTTATAGGCAAGAAAGTTGAGGTTTATAAGGGTGAAGTCGAAGTCACATAGCTGGTCATTATCAGGGGAGATCCAAACATGAGTCTGTCTACTTGTATGAGAACCACCAATCATTCTGTAGCATTGTTCTTCAAAGCTCTCGAAAGTCTACAGGAGAGGGGTTCTGTGCTCTTCCCGTATAGCAGCTTAAGGCCAGAAGGTAGAAGGTGGTGAAGAGGGAGAGCATTTGCAGGTGGTATCTGCTAGTATGCAAAAATAAGAAGGGAAAATGGGCCAAGAGGAGGATCCCGTATAGGCAGGCAGAAATGTCTGTTAGAATATGCAGGAAAGGATCACAGCTTCATAGGACTTGGCGTGAATGCGAGCCCAGGGGAAATTAGTAGCAGTGATTTTATCTGAAGTGAGTCTTCTGACAGCTCTAATCAGAATCACCCCCTTTATTATAGCTGAGGTCATCCATGTGCTTTCCCTGATGGGCCTATTTCAAGAAGAGATTGATTCCAGACAAGTGAACATACCTGAAGATTCTGGCCTGAACATTATAATTGACCTGAGAAGAAAGTGAGCTTTAAATTTTTCAACTCGGTGGCGGTGGTGGTAATGTTAGAAGTGCTTAACAGTCTGTGTTTTCATTCCGCAGCATACTCTCCAAACTAATTCCAAACTGTTCCTAGAGGGGGAGGAAATTAAAAACATGCCTCCAGGAATCGTGAGGCATTACCTGAAATGATCGGGAGTAATTTTTTTTTTAAATCTCCTGTTTTCTCTTTAGGCAGAGCTTTTGTTCATTTCTGTGTTTGTTTTATTGAAAAAATAAATGATTTTACTGGCTAAGTACTCCTTACTCCCACCCTCCATCTCCAGGTAGAATCGACAGTCTGAGAGGGTGGTGCTTCTTGTCCTGTGACTAGGCAGTCAGTCTCCAGCCTCCTTACCTGGCGTGAACGTCCCCTGTGAGCAGCACAGTTTCCCTTGGTCTCTGCTGCTGCACAAGTTCCTCCAGAGGCTTGTGCCACACAGGGCTGACCACCTGCCTACGAGCTTGCCCGCGTGTCCTGACTCCCTTCTTCCCTTGTTCCTCTGTCCCCTCAGGTGTGGAGACCCTGTTTATCACACTGTCATGATTTCTTTCACTTAATTGGCTTGACTTTTTTAGGGCTTGGTCTCTTGATGTGTCCAACAGTTTTATTTTTGGATTTTCTCTTTTGGTCCTACCAGGGGAATGTAACCAAATATATCTATCTGATTGTAGCAGGTACATGTGTTTTCCTTGTGCTGCTGGTTAGTTTTATTTACATAACAGTTGCTCTGTGTATATGACTAGCACACCTAGCCTGAATGTCCTTTGTTGCTAGCTCTTCTGGCACTGAGTCAGTGTGAAGGCCCAGTCCTGTGTGTGTGGCGCTGGGGCGGGGGAGAACAAAGTGTTGTTTCTGTCTCTTGGACAGAAAGAAACCTCAGGCCAGCGGGTATGCAGACTGACTGTAGGTGGTGAGCGCATGCCACCTTTATGGCTATTCTGTATATTGTGTTTACTAGTTACACACAGTTGATTTCCAGTTTTTCATTACAATCCTGACAAGAGTTCTGTACTTTTTGCTACTTTAACAGCAGTGAGGATTTCCTCTATAAAGTACTTTTATATCTACATCTTTATGACAAAGATTGTTGCTGATTTACTGATACTGAAGACTTGGTATGTGTTCAGCCCCCAAGTCCTTTGCTGAGGGTGTCATCTGTGTCCATCCTGCTTCTTCTTGAAACCTGTTGTCCACCTTTAACTTGTCTAATCTTGCTTGATGCTGTGTTTCCCCAGAGTCCCTCAGCAGAACCATCTGTTGTACCGAATGCAATTACATCTTATCTTTTGAATGACATCCACTACAAAATTGCTTTTTTCATAGGTCTTGTGGACTTTAAAACCTTTTTTTTTTTTTTTAGAAACTAAAGTGTCTTTGTATTATCATAACTGTTTTGTAAGATGGGGAGCATGAAGGTAGTTATTACCAATTTTATGAATGAAGAAGGAAGATATCAGTGGACATGACTTGCAGCCTCCTGGCAAAGCCAGGACTTGACCAGGTCTCTGGGGTTCCAGTCCCTAGCAGTTTCTAGAAACATTTTATGAAAGACTTCTAGTTTTCCCAGAATTGGGAGAATTTTATTATATAGGTTGAGTTGTCTACGAAGAAGATAAATTGAAAATTAGGATTTTAAGTCATAAATTCAAGGAAAAAACAGAAAAAACTTTTCTGAATATCCAAATGTTGCCGGTTCCTATTTTAACAGGTTACAGATGTTTACTTCCTAAGAACAAAGCAGACTGAATCAGAGAAGATAGGGGCTAAGTTTTCATTTTTCTCTTTGTTTTTAGGGATAGTATTTTGCAGCTCCTTGTTGAAATACTGTAAGATCATAGGTGAAATGATCCTACCTTGTGGTTCTTAGTAGGAATTTTTGTGTCCCATGAGAATTCTTAAAAGTAGTACTGGACATCCTCTAGCTGTTGTGTGGGTTTTTGAAAACCTCATAGAAATGATTTATTTTTATAAATCTTAAAATGTCAAACTTCTTTACTTCTGGCTGGAGTTTAATTACTCTGAATAGAAGCCCTGGTTGGCAGCCGATGGGCATGGCCATTAATTATTCTTGAATATGTTATTTATTTGTAGGCAGAGAGTCCAGGAGGAGAGAAAACAATCAAGTGAATGGTCTTGAGGGCTCCTCATACTTGGGAATCTGAGGCTGTGCTGCAGTGATGAAGGATGTCCACCAGGTGGCATCAAGGATTTGCTTAACTGTTGGCTCCCCAGCTAACCCTGGAAGCCCAACTAAACTTCTATCCCCCTGTGAACTATGGCTCAGCTGCAGCTGTGCCCTCAGGTCCGGTCCCTTACTTCCCTTAGTGCTGTCTTGTGCCGTTCATTGGCATCTGACCACATTCTGCCTCCCGTGAAAGCAGTGGGGGTTGACTCCTCCTCTAGATGGGAAACTTCTTGAGACACTAGGGCATTCACTGTAAAGCTTGCTCCTTTCTGTGTTTCCAGCAGTGCCAGCCATAGCCCCTCTGAGTTGTATTGTTGCAGTAACATCTGTTGGTGACCTGTGGCCTAACTGTGGACCTCCATAGAATTCACCTTCAGTATTTTTTGCTTGAAGAGTACGTTCATTTTCCTAGCTGCATAAATGACTTGTTGGAGGGCTGTAGGGTTTCATGCTTATAGATTGTGTACTTTCATAAACTTTACTCTCAAGTGAGCCCTGACCAGCTGCTTCCACTAACTTGAGAGATAGTATTTGGAGAAATCAGGCCTGTAGATGGGGCTTCCCTGCAGTCCCACAGTTGGTCTTGGCAGTGGAACCTCCATGCATGCCAGACAGCAGATAGCCATGGCATTCTTAGGCTGTGTGCCATATAGGTAGAAGCTGGAAAAAAGCAGGAAAGAATCCTCGTAGCTCTCATCCCCCTGCCTTATCTGGACTCCCAGCACAGCCTCTGGTGGCAGGCAGGTTTGATCAAGAGCAAATGCCCACGCAGACCGAGGAAGGGCCTGGGAGGGGTAGTAGTACATATGCTTATTGTAGTTGGATTGTATCATTTTATTGGAGACCATTAAGGAAATGGATATTCAGTTTTCTTTTTTTCAGAAAACAGATACGGCTTTTAAGCCAGTTGGAAGGAAATTTGAAAAGGTTCCATAATAATGTTATTTCATCATTAGAACCAACCTACATAGGCAAGCAAGTTGTTTGCCTTCTCTGTTGTCTGGCTATCTTTCCGAAGTGTTTGGTTTGAGGGCACATTCAGAAGTTCTATGTTTGATAATAGGCTCAAGAGTGTGCAAAACTCTTGAGCAAGCAGCATTTACATTTACTTAATTTAATTTCAAAAATGAGCCCATCTAGGCGAAACTGGAGCTAGTGATACCGATGTAGTGTGTCTGGCTGCTTTTCTGAGAGCTATTTGTTTAGCTCCCTAGTGAATTTGATAAACTAAGGCCATATTTTTATATCTCACGCTGGGAGTTTTGACCTTTGAATGTTGAGAGCACCAGAAGTTCTGATTATGTGATGAAACAGCTTTTCTTGCCTGTTCTTTTGGGCATTCTTTTGCCCTTTGTCTTACAGTCAGAACAGAGGATGTGACCTCTACTCTTTGGGGTGGCATTATTTTGAAGATTTTATTTATTTATTTGACAGACAAGTAGGCAGAGAGGCAGGCAGAGACAGAGAGAGGAGGAAGCAGACTCCCCGATGAGCAGAGAGCCTGATGCGGGGCTCCATCCCAGGACCCTGGGATCATGACCCGAGCCGAAGGCAGAGGCTTTAACCCACTGAGTCACCCAGGCGCCCCTGGGGTGGTATTATTTTAAAGATTGTAATCAGAATCTATCTATTAGATTCTCATCTTCTCTGTGAATCTATATTTTGTTTTATTATTACTTTTGACAGTTGAATTTAAATTCATTGGTGGGGTAATTTATAAATGTTTTTACAGAAATGTGTTGAAGATCTTTTTAGGAGAAATTTGGGAACTGCCAGCATCAGTTAGCATTGCTAACACAGCTGTTTTGTTTTTAGGTGATTGGTGAGGACAATGTGGCTGTTCCCTCGCACCTTTATAAGGTGATCCTGGCTCGCAGAAGCCCAATGTCTACTGAACCGCTGGCACTAGGGGCCTTCGTGGTTCCCAATGAAGCCATTAGCTTCCAACCCCAGTTAAGTGAATTCCAAGTGAGCCTTCAGGACCTGGAGAAGTTATCAGGACTGGTGTTTTTCCCTCGTTTGGATAGAACTAGTGGTATCAGGAATATCTGTTCTGTGGACACCTGTAAGCTCCTGGATTTCCAGGAGTTCACTCTGTACCTGAGCACAAGAAAGGTTGAGGGAGCCCGATCAGTCTTCAGGCTGGAAAAGGTCATGGAAAATTTGAAGAATGCAGGAATTGAACCAGATGATTACTTCATGAACTGCTATAAGAAGAAACTAGAAGAACTCAAAGCTAAGGAGCAGTCAGGAATCCTGGAGGGAAAACAATCTTAGTCTTTTTCTCCGAAGATGTGTCCTCTTCATTGAGCTCATGTGTTTTAGTGGCTTTGCTTTACAGAAATGATGAAATCCTAAACTTCAGACTAAATTTCTCCCCAAAAGATGAAAGATCTAAAAAATTCTGTCAGTTTTTTATTTGACACGGGAACTAATTATTAAGGAAACTATAAGACCTACAGATTGGATGCTGATCTTGTGTCGGGTTCACAGAAGACTCTGACCACAGGACAACGCTGTTTTTGTCTCTCTTTGGATGTTCACACGTGAAGGCATTTTGTTTTCGTGCCGCTGAATCATGCATTATATTTGATGTATCTCCTCAGCTTTCTTGGAGCCCAGTGTTATATGTTTTCTTTCTCTAGGAACCGAGTTGGTCTTGGAGGTGGCTTTTAGATATCCTCTGTGTGCTGTCCTGTCCACATGTATTACTGTGTTACGTATTCATTTATTGCTCCTCTGACATACCTGCTGGTCCTCCATTTCTGCCCTATAGACGCCCTCAGTGACATTATCTGCTCACCTAGTGTGTTCTGTATATTAAGCTCAGTGCTTTACATGGATTATCTTACAGCAACTCTCTGAGGTAAATACCACTGTCCTCATTTTACACGTGAGGAAATTAAGCTTAAATATCTTGTCCAAGGTTCACCTTTCCAAAGAAGTAACCCACAGAGGTAGGCATGTGGGGCCGAGAAGAAGGAGCATGACATAGACTGAAGTAATCCAGACACAGAGCTTTTGACTTAGAAATGTATACACATGGGTTTGGTGATTCTGGGCCCACTTGCTAAGAGGGGTTTGGTTTCTTGTCTGCCATTGAGCCAAAAGGTCTTGAATGTTCTCTGACTTGAACACTCCATAGCTCTTTGGGAAGAAACAATTACAGGTGTTTGAAGATTAGAGGGCATTGTTTTGTGGGGTTTACCAGAGCCCCTACTTGCCTCCAGGGATGCAGTTCTTTTAGTGACCGGATGGTGCCCAATTGCTAAGTTCTTTGCTTTCCAGGTGAGCAGTTTGTTCCAAAGATTATGGGGCCTAAGAAGGGCCTGTGTCCACAGATTTACCAGCTCATGGTTTGCTTCCCTCGGGCCCGCTTGCCCACTTGGGTAGCACCGGGAAGGTGGTGCTTTAGGCCAAAGACTCAAAGACAATTCTGATTATCTCTAAGGGAAACTGGCTGTTTTTCTGAGTTAGATCTCTAGATTTGGGTTTACATGGAATCCTTTCAAGGGCTACCATAAGTATGGACAGCGAAATACCTTAAAATAGGGCCCAGGAGCTTGTCTAAATGTATCCTAGCTCTGCCCTCTTTCTAAGTGGTGTTACCAGAACAGTTTTTGTGGTGTTTTGTGTGTTTGTCTCTAACAGAAATACCAAGGTTTTAAGATAAATGTAAGTTGATAATGATTGACCTTGTTCTGCTCCTTTATTTGGATAAAAAAGAAAGAAGTTGGGGGCTCAGAACATAGTAGCCTGATTAATACCAGTCTGTTTTGTCACACTGTTTGCCATTAGCTTATGCCAGTCCTTTTCTTCCCGGGGATAAAGAGCCAAAATGTCACTGTGACCAAAAAAATCTGTTACTTTCTCTCCTCATTGGAGAGGGGTTGGTGGGGCCTCCCGGTCTGGTGTTTCTCCCAGAGCCTGAGGGGGTGACTCAGGGGGAGAAGTCCTGGGTGCTTGGCATTCATCTCTAGAGGTGAGCCACCATCTCCTTTCCCTCACGTCTGGCTCCATGCCCTGATCTGGCCTGAATTTTCTTCAGCCTTGGACTTACTTCCCATGCTCTTCGCACTCCTGCCCCTCTACCTAGATGGTGGAGAATCTTGATTTTTGGATCAGTGAATTGAAGTGTCTTAGGTTTTTAGTATGAAAAGTGCTGGCTGGTCATTGTGAAAAATGGAGTTCCGTGTTTATAATAAAACATGCGGTCTCCCAGTCTTCATTTTCACATGGAAGAGTTGTGTTGGTCTACAGGAGTGATCTTGACTTGTCTGAACACTTCATTAAGAGTCCCTCCAGAACAAACTGAAATATAAATACTCAGTGGAGCTTGGAATTTTCCCCAGGATCAAATCACTTCAGGCTCCCCCGATAGGACTGCTGATTATTTGGACTTGGATGCAGGAGATTCCCTAAGCCACTCCCCAGCACCGTCTGTCCCCTGATGGAATTATCTCCTCACTACCCACCTGAGCCAGGCAGCCTCCAGTGGGTCCTACCTTGGAGCCAGCCAAATTCTCAGGTCGGGCCTGGGACTCTGCCTTCCGTCCAGTGATGCTCAGGGAGTATCTTGGCCAAGGGGAAGGCTGCAGCCATCTTCTTGGGCTCTGCTGCCAGAAGCCCCAACTGCAGGTGAGGGTTATTCCCTGATCTCCCCGCCCCCAGTCACATCTTTATTTGAGACTCCAGGCTCTTTGGTCTCTGGATTGAGAACATTTGACCACTGTCCTATGCGGCTAAGGTAGAACAGGTGTCCCAGCCTGTTTCCGCAGGCCAGCATTGCTGTCTTGCACTGTGACCTTCAAACAACTGAAAAACAGCTGAAAACCTCTGCCCCTCCGTCAGGCCTTAGAAGCACCCGGAGGGAGACGTAGTGTGATCTTGAAGGAACATCCTTGCAGGACTAGGCTCAGCCTGGAGCAGCCCCCACTCTCTTAATGACCCGGCCTCATTCCTGTGAACATGTCGCTGTCGCTCACATCAGCAGCACATCCCTGAAGCTATCCCTGCTCAGTCCTTCACGGCTGCACCTGTGTGCCCTTATGTCTTCTGGGCGCACTCCATCATCTCCTCGGTCTTTCCGTTCATTCTGCCGGAACTGGTCAGGAGGGCCTCACATCTGGTGTGGCACTCCTGCTCATTCCTGCCTCCACTCCCCACCTCATTCCGGCCTGCCTTCCTGGATGTCATTCACGGAGGTTATCCGTCAGGGGGTCCGGTGCTGCCTTTTCCAGTCCAGCCTCTCCTCCAGGAACTGACTTGTCAGTCATTAGTGTAGGTCAGGTGCATGAACCGATCTTTGATGTGGACCCTGTGTAATCTGGGGTGTGCAGTGGGGATGGGTGGATGGACTTCTCTTAGTGTTCCTGGACATGGCATTATGGCCTACGGGCTGGTGTGCTCCTGTGTGCAGAGTACCTCTAGGGGTCACTGTGGCCTAGTGCCACATGGAGGACTCAAGAGTCAGCTGTGACACTGTCCAACACAGAACCTCTAGCTGTGTAAGCCACAGAGGGTGCAGTCAGTTTTGGACCTCAGACTCCAGGCTCTCAGGCCAGATGGAACAGCAGAGGCTGTGTTGTCCAGTGAGCCTCATGTTTGGCTCGTCAGAGGGGCCTAGCTGGCTTAATTTTTCCCAACTTTATTTTGAAAAATGTCTTTCCAGACAAGTTGAAGGGAGAGTTAAGAATGCCCTCTCCCCTCAATATTTTGTCCCATTTCCTTTCTCTTCTTGAGCCATTTAAAAGTAATTCATTGATTTAAGAAAAAAAGTAGTAGACACACTTTATTCTTTAATACTTTGATCTGTATCATCTAAGAATAAAGACATTCCCCTGTATTGTCAGAATACTGTTATCTAAGAAATTTGTCAAGAATTCAGTATCATTTAATGAACAAAGTCTTAAAAGTTTGCCCAGATTTCCCCCCAAAATCTTAAACTTTTTTTGAATATCCACGTCTCAGCCACGGTTTGTGTCTTGTATCTTGTCATGTCTAGTCTCTGCTAATCTAGAGCAGTTTGCCTGGTAAGCTTCAAAAATACAGAGATTCTTCAACCCCACCCTTGAAGATTTTGACTCAGTCGGTCAGAAGTGAAGCTGAAACCAGTATTTTTTAACACAAGCCACACTGCTGATTCTGATGACTCCCCAGGGTTTGGAACTGGACCAAGCCCCACTTTGCTGCCACTCCACCGACACACACATTCCCTAGACAGGAGTCCCCTCAGAAGGTGGGCTTTGAGCTCCTGACTATCAAAGGAGAACTTTCTTCCATTGCTTTGGGCCCCCAGGTACCCACTTTCCTTTATTATTGAGCTTCGTAACATTAAGCTGAAACTTTCCCTGCAACTTACTCATCAGTGATAGGCCCTAAATGGCCATCCCAGGTACACAGAGCTGGCTGGCACCTGCTTTCACCTGATAGTCCTTTAGAGATAGGAACCTCATTAAGACATCTGGGCATCTCGCTTAATGCCCAGGGCATTCATGGATTTCCGACCTGCCATCATCATGATGTTATGTGGCCTTTATGGTGTGGCAGCCACATCTGGGTGAAGCATCAGACACAGCGATGGCAGTGCTGAATTGAGTGCTCCCTTAGTAGGGACGCCCCACTATTCTCACGGTACTGTTGGTCCATGTGGAGCTTGGTCCGGCTAACAGCTCCAGGTCATTTTCCCGTGGTCTGTTGTCAAGTCGCTTTCCCGTCATGCACTCACACCGTCAATATTCGGAACACAAATATGGGGTTATGTGTATGCCCTACTGTTAAGATTTCATTTCATTATAGTTTCTCCCCATCTTATGTGAGTTTGCATTCTTGATGATCCTGATTTGGCCATCTGACATGTTAGCTCTGCCTCCCAGCTTTGAGATTGCAGATCAGATAAACAAGCCTTCAACGTGTCTGTTAAAAACATTGAATGAGACAGAGCCACGGAAGATCCCGTTGGTAAAAAAGTTCATTTTTTATGGCAACCTGCTTCACACACTCACCCGACAAGATTCATGTGACAATAATGTGCTCTGATATTTTCTAAGTTCAATTCTTTTCTAGTTCTTTTTTAAAAAGGGAAACAACACTGAATTGATTGCACAATGCAAAAATAAGTCTCTGTCACAATTTGCTTGTGAGTCACCCCGGGACAGTAAGAGTGCTTACTGTATCTCTGGGTGTGCACAGCATGGCTGGACCAGCACTTTGGATACCTCCCTATGTACGGAGGTGTAATTGGGTCCCCATCCCAGCTTCCCACCTACTGCAGCCTCCTGCAATGGACCTCATTTGTCCTGAATCAGGTTCCTCATATGGGAACAGGTTGAGGATGACTGGCAGGATCATTTGAAAATTGAATAAGCTAAGTCCTCAATAAATGTAGCCAGTTACTATGAATTCCTGTTACCAGTGACTACCAAAGACAATGTGTGGCCCCAAAACTCATACCTTGAAATCTAACCCCCTCCTAAAGGTATGAGGAAGTGGAGCCTTTGGCAGCCTTTGGCTCCACCCTCATGAATTAGATTAGTGCCCTTATAAAAGACCTCAGAGACCCCAGACTCCTTTGCCCCTGTCATGTGAGGACACTGCACAATGATTGGCCCAACTAGAAGATGGGCTCTCATCAGACACTGAACCTGCTGGCACCTTGATCTTGGACTCCCCAGCCTCCAGAACTGTGAGAAATAAATTTCTTTTGTTTATAAGTCACCCAGTCTGTGGTATTTTGTTATAACAGCCTGAACTGACCAAGACAATGACAGATGAAGGTCATTGTGTTCTGAGGAGGTGAAGGACAGAGCCTGATCTTAATATGGTGTTAGGCTCTGGGCCAGGTGGAAGCAATCCCGTCTCCCCAGTCCTGGGACCATTAGATGTGCTGCTACCAAACTTTCAACTCTCACTGCTCTGCAGTTTGCAAAGTGCTTTCACATCAGAGCTTATTCAGCCCACCATTTCACACGTGAGGAAACAAGCTCCAGGAATGCGTGACTTAGGATGGTTTTCGGGCTCTCGCTCTAACATTTGCCCTCCCCCCCCCCACAAAGCTGTTCGAGTTATTTTAATTTGCTTTGTAATCCAGTCATTCATGCTCATCTTGGCCCTGTCGGTCCCGCTAACTTCCTAGAAGCAGACAAATAATGGAGTTGACTCCTTTCTGGGGCCTCCAGAGGGCTCAAGAATGTTTTGGAGTTTGGGGCGCCTGGGTGGCTCAGTCGGCTGTGTCTGCCTTTGGTTCAGGTCATGATCTTGGGGTCCTGGGATTGAGCCCCACTGTCGGGCTCCCTGCTCAGAGGGGAGTCTGCTTTTTCCCTCTCCCTCTCCCCTCCCCCTACTTGTGTTCTCTCTCTTTCTCAAATAAATAAATAAAGCTTTAAAAAAATGTTTTGGAGTTACAAGTCTGAAAAGTTGAGACGATCCTGCTCAAGTCCCAGTGTGTGCACTGTCTTGGTGAGAGACCCGGGAAAGTTGGGCACTAGGGTATGGCTGTGAATCAGTTCTCCAGCAGGGACCTGTGAGACCAGATGAGGACAGTGAGGACAGCTGTGGGGAAGGTGTCTCAGAGGAGGCAGGAAGGCAGGTGCACTGGTCTCCCGCCAAGGCCCAGGTTCTGTGCTTGGGGGCCGGCCGGCTGCTGTGAGTAGAGCAGAGCAGGGGCCTGTGTCTCAGATAACAGCCTTGTG